TGTTAAGTAGTAGCTGCTAACTGTTCTGTGAAGAGGAGACCTTTGGATTCTTTGGGGACTTATGGAGATGGGCTCCATGCCCACAAAGAGCTTGAATCCTGAGACTTTTCCAGAGACAAAATAAAATCATCTCTATCCACCCCTGGCTGTTTTGTGGTGGTCTAGGGTGAAGGTGGGAGGTGAGGTTTGAAGGGGGAAAAATTAAACTTGGAATGAACTCTGGGGTTCTTAATAGTTGACCACATATAGTGTGGCAGTTGACCATGTTCCTAGAGGTTTGCAGTGGTTCCATTCATCTGCTCCTTTTCACCTTTTAGTCTTGATGGGGATACATTTTTCTGGACTTGTTGCAAGGTCCCAGGGGCAGGCAGATAACCACACCCAGCTCTGCATATGAACAAAGGCAGGGATTCTCAAAGAAATTATTAGTGAAAAATTAGGGGAATTTTTTTTTCTCTTAGGGTGAAATAGCTCTGCCTGTCTTTTCTATTCTTGCTTTTCAGAAACTCCGGGAAGTGGGCAGGAGTCAGCTTCAAGGCAAACCCAGGCCAGGCCAAAAGGAACTTGTAAGAAAGGAAGGCAGGGCTTGGGATTGTAGCTCAGTGGTAGAGCGTTTGCCTAGCACATGTGAGGCAATGGGTTTGATCCTCAGCACCACATGAAAATAAATAAATACAATAAAGGTATTGTGTCCACCTACAACTAAAAAAATATATATTTTTTAAAAAATGAAGGAAGGCAGGAGCGTGCCTGTTCACCAAATGCAAATGCAGGCAGATCCTTCCTTTGATTTTATGCCACTGAAGTTAGGTATATTTAAAGATCTTTCACACAAATGCAAACTGTGTACTATTGATAAGATGATTACTGTTAGCATTATTAGCATTGTGATTAAAGTGTGGGCTTGATCTTTGGCATCCTGAACTCAGATCTTAGTCTTCCATTTTCTGTGTGACCCTGTTTAGGACTTTAAAGTTTCCCTATGGAAAGCCTAACAGAGCTCTTGTGAGACTTGAATGTAAGGTCAGGTGGCACAGAACCTGGCACACAGTAAGTCCTATATCTGTGGATGTGGGCACCAAGTGACAGGTTAAAAGATATACAGTTAATGGGACTTTCCCACGAATGTCTCCATGGGTGCTGGGTAACTGGTGGGCTAGCAAACTAAAGTGGGCCTTCCATCTCTTAGAGGTCTCAATTCAGCTGGCCTGCAGCAGAGAGGAACACTTGATCAGATGTCACTTCCTGCTTGAAACTACAAATGACCCTGGAGGTGAACACCAAAGCTCATAATCCTGCCACAGGTGTCACTATCTTCAAGGGTGGGGACTACACTAAGCAGGTGTTATTTCATCAATGTGCTGCTCCACACCTTTCAGATTCTTAAAACGATGGGAGGAGGAGCGTTGGTGCAGGGTATCGCTACAGGCAGAAGGTTGAGTATCTCTCCCAGGAATTCCACTTCTAGGGTTGTATCTTTTACAACCAGTAACCAGAAATGTGTGTCAAAGTTTATTGTGCAAAGATTTTCATCACCAAGCTTGATCCTGATAACGAGAAATGAGGAACAAAGCAAGTGCCCTCAAAGATTGATTTTTATAAGAAGAGGGTACTGTCATACGACAAACCAAGCAGACTTTAACAGTCATGTTGTAGAAGAACAGTTCATGACAGAAGAAAAGGCTCATAACATATTACATGAAATATAAAGGACACAAATTAACAGTGGTTATCTCTGGGTAGTGATTGTGGTTCCATCTTACTCTTTATACCTCTTGGAATTTTTTTTTTTTTTTTTTTTGTGGTGCTGGGGTTTGAACCCAAGACTTTGTGCATGCAAGGCAGGCATTCTACAACTGAGCTATATCCTTAGCCCCTTCTTGAAATTTTTTACACTGTTTTACAATGAGAGGTATTATATAATCAGAGGGTATTAAATATATGATTACATACAACATGTTCAGCAAGTATTCAAGGTACAAGGTAGACACTAGGAGGCAGGGGCTGGTTGTTGCAGTGTTTTGCCTTTGCCCACTGTTGTGCCTTTTTATTATTTTATTTTTTTGTGTTGCTAGGGATTTAATCCAGGGCCTTTACATGCTAGGGAAGTGCTCTACCACTAAGCAACATGCCCAATCCTTTTTATTTTGAGACAGGTCTCACTAAGTTACTGGGGTTGACCTGGAACTTGTGACCCTCCTGCCTCAGGCTCCCAAGTAGCTGGGATTACAGGCATGTACCATTGCACCCAACCTGTCATGTCTTGTGCACAGGTGCTTCCCCAAGTGTGCTGCCCTGCCCCATGCTCCAGGCTGTAACCATTATTTTCCTGCCTGGTGTCAATCATAGCTCCTCATGCTGGGGTCTCCTGCAGACACCCTGGGTATCCTAACTGATTTAATAAAGGGATTGTCCTTGTCCTACCCCAAACTTTCTTGCAGAATTAGGGAAGACAGGTGAATTTAAGAATGAGCCCCTCCCCCCACCACCTATATTAAGGAGAAAAAGTGACTGATGATCGGTGTCTTTTGGCCTCTTCACCAGTTTCCAAACCCTGGATAGTAACCCACATTTCCTGACTATGCCCTTCTTTATCCCCACCAAAAAGATAACCTTTTTTCCTTGAACGGACTTCCAACTTGAGTCCAGTGACCAATTCCTTCTTTCCTCCCCCAGCCATCGGCAGGGCCAAGCATGGCATGGGAGGAAGGTATGGGAGAAGCTGCGTATATAAATCCTTATGAGATAAAACTGATGTGCTGCTAAGTGTGCATATCCTACTTGTAGGTGTATTCTGCTTTCCAGAAACCCTGAATTATAAAAAAGGAAGTCAAGGAGTTTGCCTTTAATAACAATACAAAGACACGTTGCTTTTGGCAGGTGAACAGACTTAGCTACTGTATTCCTTCCTCACTCAGCAACCAGTGCGATGTTCCCCAAATCCCGAATGCCTCTGCCTTTCTATGAGCAAAGTCTGGCTCACCTTGGCCAACAAATCTCCTCTGGCCTCGTCCCCCCCCCCCCACCTGCCACCTTTGTGGACTTCCAGTATGTGATCTGCTCTCTCCTGCTTCCACACCACCTGACCTCTCACACTTTCCCCTGCCTGGTTCCCTGTCCTGTCAGGGTTCAGCCCAGACCTGCTTCCCAAGGAAGCCTCCTTCTGCCTGGACCAGCTCCTCTCCAAGTGTCTCTTTCCATGTCTTGTTCCCCATCTGCTTGTAGAGGGGATTATCTGCCCCTTCAGCTCCATGAGGTCCCAGACAATCTGTCTTGATACTAGTCAGAGCCCAGCATGGGATATGGCAATAGTTGACACTTAAATAATTAAACTGAATCTATTAGAAAGAAAACTCTTCTCCTTGGTAAGATTGCCTAGGTAGAACCTCAGGTGTCACATGTAGGTCTGAAGTTGCCAATTGAGTCCTGGGTGAATGAGTGGAAGCCTTTTGCTTTGTACTTAATAAATTTAATTACTTAATGAACATGGTTGGTTTTAGTAGGAATCTTCCACAGTGTGGAGGAAGGAGAATAACAAAGGTATTCTTGTGGGGAAAGGTTGAGAACTAGAGAACTGGACACTAAGTTTGCCCTTAAAAATGGAGTACTTAGGGGAGTGTGTTGTCCCTGAACAGGAAACCAATGGGTCACCAGGGCTCAGTCTAGAATCTAGGAGCCCCCTTGAAACTGTAGTGGAATGAAGCTGCAGCTGTTGGAACGGACATTGATTTGCTCAAGATGTTTGATTTCTGGCCCAGAAGGGGACTGTGGGCTAGGAAGAGTCTAAGTAGCAGTAGCAGGCAGAGGTGCCATGAGGACAGTCCCAGCTGGGTCAAGGCAAGTTCTAAAGACATTGCACTGGTCCTTGGGGCTGGACTGGAAGATCTATATTCCTGGGATGCCTTCCAGTGAGCTCTCACTCTCATCCTATGAGGTGGGATGTAGGGGGGCAGAGTTCACTCCTTGGAGAGAGTTAAGTCCACTCAGCCCTGGTCTTGTTGCTTACTTCACACCAGCTTGAGCGCCCGCCCATTGGTTAATGCTCTTTTCTTGATAAGCAGGGGCCCTACGGTCATCTCTCGATCTCTCTCACCTGGGGGCTGGCTTAAACTCTCTAAGCTTCAGTTTCTTCTTCTGAGAATTGGGCGCCGCACAGACCCTCCATTTTAACATTRGGAATGTTAAAATTCTTCACACACCTAAAATGCACAAGTGGTTCATGGAATCATGACAGCTCAGTAACTATAGTCTAGAGCATTCTTTATTCCGGACTGTATGAGGTCCTGAGGACAGCAGACATTTATTTATCTGTTAAATGAATGACTGGGTGCAGATTCCCATGTTTATTTCTGCAGATTCCCATGTTTATTTCTGCCTACAGGCTCAGCACCCAACAACTAACCCTCGATTACTGAAGATGTGCTGGGCGCCTAGGGGTTCCAGCAGTTCGATGCCCGTCCTCATTCTCACCTCTACAGTCAAGGAAAGAGAGGCTTGGGCAAGACCTGACACGCTGGAGATCTGCCTAGAGCCTGCGGTGGGGACTTCGCGCGCAGGCTTTGGCCCTACCCAGCTAGGGCAACCCTTGCCACTCTTGCCTTTACAGTCGCCAGCTGGTGTGAAGTATCCCGCTAGGATACCTGTCCTTTAGCCACCCATGGWGTTTCCGGGGCGCCTTGGCGGCCCTAGGGAGCAGGGGCCAAGGGCTGGCCGTCTCCCTCAATCTCCAGCCCGATGAACCCTCCGTCTAAGTTGGGTTTGGGTAGCAATGAATATTCTGAGGGTCCTCCTGCCCTCCCTTCTTAYCTCTCCGGGAGACCCCGGCGGGGCGCGGGAAGCAAGGTGTAGAACTGCAGCCACGTGGGGCCGCGTCCAGGACCTGCTTCATCCAGCCCGGGCGCTCCCGGGGTCCCGGGCCCGCCTCCCGCCTCCCGCCCACGTGGCCGGTTCCGCCTCCCCGCCCCGCCCCCCGCCCCGCCCCGTCAGCCGCCGGCGCCGCCGCCGCGGAGCGCTCTTCAGCTCCGCCGGGCCGAGCCAGCGCGGGCCGACGAGGTGAGTCCGCGAGGGTGGAAGCGAATCCTACCCGCCCGCTACAGCCTCTGGGGTTCGCTCTTCCCTTCCCTTAACCCACCAACCCCGCCAGAATTGGACTCCCGCCTCCCTCCCGGTGTCCACGCCGCGGGGGGTGCGCTGGGCGCAGCGCAGGTGGGCAGTGCCACTCGCGGTCCTGACCAGCCGCTGCTTCTGAGGGAGACGCTGACTTGGGTGCCCTGGGAGGTCCTGGCGAAAATTCCCGAAGCTACTTCCGGAGAGGGAGGCGCCACCTGTCCTGGGGGCGCGCCCCTTTTCCTCAACTTTCGTCTCCAGGTCTGCCTCGCGTGAGGCGCTGTTGGTGGTGGCTCTTCGGTTCCCTGGTCACTCGAAGCGGGGCAGCTGGGCTCTGAGCACTCTGAGAGGGGACTGCCGCCCGGGCCCGCCCGGGTCCTTGAGCTGGCGGCGGCTTCGTCTTTTAAACTGCTCAGCCCAAGGATCCTGAGGTGGGCGGCGGACGCCTAGAGGTTAAGGTGAAAATTGGTACCTCTAGCCAGAGTCGGGTGAGCGTTTTCTAAGGGTGGAATTTGATAAGGCTGGATGGAAATGGGTTCCCTTGGGCATTGCGGTGGTGGAGGGCTGCTCTCGATTATCATTGGTCTCACAGTGGGCTTGAATGTTGCGGAAACAGAGGGTTTGTTCTTAGAGGACTTGGCTTGCTCGATTTATTGCCTTGACCAGGCTTGCGTCCAAAACTGGGCAAGGATGTCCGAACTGCAAACAGCAGTTGTCCTGAATGCAGAACTTATTTTTAAGCATTTCGCGCATTACCTAGGTATAACTAATTTCTTCCCTGGGGTGTGGAAGAGGAGAGCTTTGCTCTCTTTGTCTTAGCTGTGTAGTCTAGGCAAGTTACTTTACAAATCTATGCCTGAGTTTCCTCATTTGTAAAATGGGGGTAATAATAGTATGAACCTTAAAGGGTTTGATAAGGTTAAAGTTCCCCAATAGTGACAGTACAAGGTGAATTCTACCTGCTGTTAGTTGCTCTTATTATCACTGCTGACATCAGACTAATAGTGTATCACATCCCTAGCTTCCTAATGAAATGAATGTGTAGGCTCTTTCTCCTTCTTCCTTTCCTCCTAGGGATCTGGTGTTTTCTATGCAGTAGCAGAATTTTCCCTTCAGCCCAGGGAAACTTGGGCTTTGTTGGGATACCTACTATGGTTAACCAGCCTTGTGCAAAGTATATCTCAGAATGTGGGGTCAGAGGTGAACTTTGTCAAGGATACTGCTGGGAAATGGGATCTTGAACCTTCTGGAAGCTCTTGGATGTGACTGGATGTTTGCCTCTCAGGAGTGGTGTGTGGGGTGGAGTGGATGAGGTTTCACTTGAATTCTTGCAAGCCTCTGTCCCCCTGACAGGCACACATCCACTAGTCTCTGAGTGTGAGAGTCTATTTAAGGGCCCAGGGGCCTGATCTTGTCTCCCTCTCCTTTATTCTTTCATCTCCAGCAGATTGACTCCTGTGTCAGTGGAGTCTCCCTGGGCTGCACCTGTCTAATTTCTTCTTGTCAGTTTAGTTTCTTTCTTGAACTCCATAAACAGGAGTGTTGAACCTAGAGTCCTGGGTTCCTCCTGAAATCTACATGAGACACTTGGAGCACAGGTGTGTGTTTTCCCAGAGGCTTCCCCTTTCATCATATTTTTCAAGAAGCCTGTGTGCCATAAAAATGGACTCTGAATGGCTGGTGGGGAGGTGCAAGTTTTACTCATCTCCTCTCCAGGTCAGGCCCAAATTTTTAGGAAGTGGCATGTTGGTGCACACACATTTCTTTGTACCCTAGCTCAGAGCACACCTTCCAGTGCAAAATTCAGATGTGCTTTGACTTAGACGAAAGGATAATGGAGAAGGCAGGCTGTCAGGTCAGGGGCTGTTAGTCGGTGGGGGCCTTCAGAGTGGAATGCAGCTGATCAGTATTTCAGTTCAAGATATCAGGAGACTTCTCAGAGCCTTTGTTCATGCTCTTCCTTCTAGTGAGCACACTTATCTCCCACTTCTTCCCATGACCTGCACTTTCTTACCCTTCAGTTCAGTTGTCTCCTCTGTAGAAAGAGTTTCCCTGACCACTCTGTCCAAAGCAATCCCTCCCCAACAGTTTTAGTCACATTCTCCCATTATATTTTGCTCATGGAACTTGCCTGAAATGATTTTTTTTTTTGGTACCAGGGATTGAATTTAGGGGCACTCAGCCACATCCCCAGCCCTATTTTCCTAGTTATTGTTGACCCTGAACTCAAATCCTTTACTGACAGGGAATTCACTGCTTCCAACACAGCTGTTCCTTTGGAAGAAGCTAGGAGTGGGGAGCAGCAGAGAATCAGATATAGTCCCTGATTTCGATGAGGATAAGATATGGCCTCCAGGCTTCTGTATGCCACTGTCCTCCCAGTCTGTTTTACATCCTGATTATTCTTTTTCCATCAATATCTATCTCATGCATCTGTCTCTACTTCTCTTCCATTACCAAGGTCCCTGAGCCCCTGACCAGAACTCACATGAGCCATGTATGACCAGAGGGAGAGCAGAAAGGCCATTGGCATAGATTAGAAACCTTCAAGGCCAATTCTGTATTGCTCAGGCACCTTTGTATGATTTAGATCTGAGGTGTCCCCAAAAGCTCATGGGTAAGACAGGGCAAGAGAGTTTAGAGGTGAAATGCTTAGGTTATGAAAGCCTCAACCTAAGCATTCATTAACCTACTGATATGGATTAACTGGGCAGTAACTGTAGGTAGATGGGGAGTGGCTGGAGGTGGTGGGTCACTAAGAGTGTGACTTTGGGACTATATTTTGTCACTGGTGAGTAGTGGAGCTTTCTTTCTCTGCTTCTTTTTTAGGTGTAGATGGACACAATACCTTTATTTTATTTATTTTTATGTGGTGCCGGGGATCAAACCCAGTGCCTCTTGCATGCTAGGCAAGCACTCTACCACGGAGCCACAACTCCCCCTACCCTCTTTCTGCTTCATTGTTGCCATGTCCTGGGCCGCTTTCCTCCACCACACCCTTCTGCCATGATGTTCTGCCTCATCTCAGACCTAGGCCATCTATGACCTCTGAAACTATGAGCCCCAAATAAACTTCCTCTCCTCTGTGTTCTTGTCAGGTCCATTGGTCACAGTGACATAAAAGCTGACTAAAAAGCCCTATACCTGCATAGAGTTGGAGCAAGGGCAGCTCTGTTTCTTTTATTCTTTCACTGAATTTTTTTTTTTTTGGAGGGGTACCAGGGATTGAATTCAGGGGCACTTGACCACTGAACCACATTCCCAGCCCTATTTTGTATTTTTTTTTTTTTTTTTTTTTTAGAGACAGGGGTCTCATTAATTTTGCTTAGCGCCTGGCTTTTGCTGAGACTGGCTTTGAACTCACGATCCTCCTGCCTCAGCCTCCTGAGCTGCTGGGATTACAGGCGTGTGCCACTGTCCCCGGCTCTTTTACTGAATTTTTAAAATTAAGTTTTAAATTTTTTATTTGTTCTTTTTAGTGATACATGACATTAGAATGTATTTGGACATATCATACATGGAGTATAACTTCCCATTCTTGTGGTTGAACATGATGTGGAGTTACACTGGTCTTGCATTTGTATATGAACACAGGAAAGTTAAGTCTAATTCGTTCTACACTCCATCTATTCACATCCCATCTCTCCTGCCATCATTCCCCTTTGTCTAATCCAAAGTATTTCACACACCCCCCTCCATTGTGTGTTAGCATTTACATATCAGAGAGAACATTTAGCCTTTGGTTTTTTGGGATTGGCTTATTTCACTTAGCACAAGTCTTCAGTTCCATCCATTTACAAGCAAATGTCATAATTTTCTTATTCTTTATGGCTGAGGAATATTCCACCCTGTATGTATACCACATTTTCTTTATCCAGGTTGGTTTTGTAACTTAGCTATTGTGAATTGAACTGCTATAATTATTGATGTGGCCACTCTTTCACTGAATTTTTTGTGACCCATTCCTTAATCTACTTATTAACTGTGATCCCCCTCCATTTTCTCTCCTCTTCCTTATTGATTGATTGATTGATTGATTGGCATTAGAGATTGAACCAAGGGGCACTTTATACCAAGAGCTACATCCCCAGTCCTTTTTATTTTTTTAATTTTGAGACACAGTCTCACTAGGTTTCTGGGGGTCTCCCTAAGTTGCTGAGGCTGCCCTTGAACTTGTGATCCTCCTCCCTCAAGCCTCCCAAGTCACTGGGATTACAGGCATGTATCAAGGATCCAGCCCTTACTGTATTTTTCTAAAATTAATTTCATAATGTTTCATCCAGATATTTTCTGATTTACATCACCTGGCATATATAGGATACCTGGGAAAAGACCATTCCATGCATATGGAACTTAAGGTTGCCATTGAACTCCCAGTATGACCAGTCAGCTCTTGAGCCCTGGACATMGTCTATCTCACTGGAGCAGGGGAAGGAGAATGAGGCAGTGTAGGCAGAAGTCCCCTCCCTTCCCTCAGATTCTAGCAGATGGCTGGAGTAAGGTATTGGCATTGTGGGCTAGGGTAGTTGACTAAAGGCTCATGCATTCCTTTTCAGAAGGTGGGGCCAGAAGCATTGATGTTTTCTGAAACTACCACCTGGGGAATGAACATGAACCTAGCAGGGCACTTTAGGAGTTATAACCCCTCATATAATAAAACTTGTCTCACCCCTCTTCCCTGGGTAGGGGTGTCTTCTTTTGTTTCAATTAATTACATCTACCTAAAGGGAATCATGGGGAGGAAAAGTAGTTGTAAGCAGGGCTCTGATGGAAAAAGTGAAAAGATCAAAATGTATAGCATCAAAGGCCAGAAAGTGTGTGTGTCCTCCTCTTTCTCTGGATTAATGATCAGTTAAAGTTTATTTAATACAGTATAAGATTCCTAGGAGTTGATGGTAGAATGAGACAGACATTATTACCCTATATGCATGCATAATTACACTACT